CTTAACGAGGTCGTGAAATACAAGCATCGGAGGACAGGAGCATGGAGTATATACATGCCCTAACTACCTGCTTCTGTCTTTCCGCTCCCGTCTCTCTTTATTCTTACGTATCTCTCGGTTCCTCCCTTTCGTTCCGCATCCCTCTGGTTCTGTCCCTGTTCTATCTGGCAGCCGCGTGGGTGGGTCTGCTCTGTACTCGCTCCGAGCTCGCGCTCTTCCTTTGGAGTAAGGGAACATTCCGACGCAGCGAGAGAAAATAGTGCGGTGAACCCCGTTGGAAAATTCCTACGCGCAATGAGTGCTCGATGTAATAATCGAAGTTGAGGAATTCGAGGTATTCGCCCTTTGCCCCTTCTGTCCCCTCTGTTCAATCGTCCTGTACGAAATATCGATCGAGGAGAGTCGATTGGGTCTCGTTTGCAACCATCGAATCTTAATTAAGGAGTGCCAAGGAATAAAAAACATTCAGTGCTGTATTTCCTTATTAGAAACAATGGAAAGGATTACACTGCGTTTGACGAAATGGTTACCTTTATTCCTTGAATTAAACCTCGTTGAAGTTCTTCCATTGTACAATTTAAACTAGGACATTCGGATAATGAGTATTACGTTAAAAGTACCTGCAATTTCATACGAACAGTCTCGACTAATTTTTTGTAACAAAAATACATTCGACAAACGTTATTAAAAACATTTACAACAATTCTGTCATTTCCCAAGTAATGACATGCAAACAGGAATTAATTCAGAAATAGCGGTATTTTAAACATTGTAATCTACTGCATCGAAATTATATGAATTGGAACCTGAGAGAACATTAAACAAGCGTAAAATCCTTTGAATTTGAAATGCGAATGTAAAAATAACCAGCCGCAAAAGTATTCCGAGACGGAAATCCTTAAATGTAAAACGCGAGTCAGACCGTCCGTGATCATCGTCCTTGGAACATTCAGCCGAGTTCAAATCGGCATCTTTTCTTGTTCTCTTCCCTTCTTATTGGCCCTTAGGATGTTCCCTTTTCGCTCATATTCTCGTATGCTTCTATCTTATTCGATCGCTAGGAGAAATAATAAAAGTCCATCTGTTTAAACCATATGGAAATGAGACAAAAATGGAAAGCGAATGGCGGCCCGCAGCAGCAACCATTCCATGTATTTTGCGACCATAGCAACGAGTATCAACTATTTATTGGAATTTTCCAGTCGCCTAAGCGACGCGTCCGATCATTCTCGCTAACTTCGACCACCGATCCGACCGTCAGCTTCGGCCTCGATTCTTTTGGACACATCTTCCCTTTGTGGGATTCTTTTTGGAACGACACTCCTTTGTGGTGGCACGCGAGAAGCATTCACGCGGCACTGTACTAGTACGATTCTGTTTTCGCTGTTAAACAGACACCGTTTGATCGGGGCAGAATGTCCCTTTACGTCGATACTGTATTGACTGCGATAAAAGAAGCGGAAGAATCGGATGACATTCAAAAGTTGTCTCTTCTATAAAATGGTTCGGTTTTCATGACTTGATTCTTTACTATCGATAGTGATATTCTCAATTCACGTACCAAGTTTCATAGCTGTTCATATTGTACAAATAATTTTCTGATTAGATTCATTTATCAAGTATGTATTTGAAGGCACAGAAATGTCTAAAATGAAATTGTTAATTCTGAGAATTATCCTTCGGACGAATTCATTTTTCATCTGTGTTATTACGTCTCGAGAAACTTTTATATAGCTTTTATTATATAATCAGTCCCTTGGAAACGGTGGTGCTTTTGTATGATTCGACACAGCCGAATCCATTCGTCCTGGGAGGATTGACGTCCGATGGATGGAAGGGTCGCGCTAAGTGGTAGATTCGGAGTGATTGAAAGAGAGGTGAGATGGAAAAAAGGGTCTCGAGGAAAGCGGTCGAAGTGAACTTAAACTCCTCGAGGTGGTTACACGATGGAGGCGAGAAGAAAAGAGCCGGACGTCGATACAGAGTGCTGTTTACGCCGTCATCTCCCTTGTAACCTTCATTCTCCACGCCCCTTTCAATCTCATTTTGCCCTCCTTCTAGTTTTTAACGGTACCCTCCCGAATCGTTCCTCGACGATCGCTTTCGCTCGATCCCCTAAGTACTTCGTTCGAATGGCCAATTACTCCAACTGCTCTCAGTTCTATTTTTCTGTATTTCTTTAATTCTACTCTGTGAAATAAATGGTCACCGCGCTTTATGCAGATATCAAATTGACGCGAACGCGTAATTGATTAAACTTATTTTTAATTACCGATATTACTTTAATACTGAGAAGCCAATAACTTTCTCGTCGGTCATAAATGGTGTCGGTGTGCAACGTTGTTTCATTTAACATTTGACACAAGTTTTAATACACCGGTGCACTTTGGAGATTAATTTTCCTCCGTATAAATAACTACCATCCGGTCGCAATGCGATAACCAATTATTTGAGTATAATTAAGTTAAGGAAAAGACGGGTAATCAAGAATATTTATGAAATACGACTTATTTCTTATAATTGAAATCATACCGCGATGGAGTTATCGATGCTTACCAAATATAACTTGCAACGAGGTAGGATGTCAATTGATTAGGAGAAAAAATGTGTGAGCCTTCAGTAATGGAATGCGAATATCTGCAGAGTGTTGGTCGGCACCGAGACGTCTTTTATGGAATTTCGTTTTCGCATAAAGTTTTATCGTCAGACGGGACCGCTTGCGCGTAATATCTGACAAACTGCGAGAAATACCGGCGTCTGATCCGGCATTTTTCTTATTAGACGTGAGCGCGACTACCCAGAGAGATCATCCTGTTCTCTCTCTCCCTGTGTCTCTTTCCCATTTCTTTACACGGAATTTTAACCCTGTAAAAAATGTCGACCTTGCCCCATAGGATTTTTTCCGTCCCTTTCGCGGGACGAGACCGGAATATAACCACCGTCGTCGCCTTAAAAATTTGCATTTCTCTCCCTTTCTTCTTTTCTACGTCTCGGCTCGTACTAGTCCTTTTGGATCCTGTGTCATCTTAGTCTCGGTGACAAAGGACCTTCTAACGATAAGTGGACGAGGCGAGAAAAATAAAAGTGTTTCCTCGTGATCATCTTCCATTTTGAAGACATCGATAAATCTTAGACAGATCCATCCTTTTGCCTTCTTCCCTTTGGATAGAAAAATTTTTATCTTGGCCAATTCAAGATATGCAGTTGACTTTTATTTCAATTCCCATGTTTGGTTCATGAAATACTGTAATGTTAAAAATTGATATTTTACTAGATTGTGACATTTTAGCAATATCTTACAAATAAATAATTATTCGTAATTTATTGTAACATCCAACATTCGACTTTTCATTTTGGTCAAAATTACATTTAGAATCTAGTTTACAGATGAAGTTTAGCGTCAAGTTTATTATGCAATACCGATTTAATAACATTACTTGGTATGCTCATATCAAATGTTGGAATTCATTAATTTGCGAACATTATTATGATCAAGTTGTTATCATCACACTATTAATAGCAAATACACGAGAATCATTTGTTTATCAAATTACCGCTATTAATTTCCGTGTGTATTGTAACTGTTTCTACCGTAATGATCATGGATTTTAATAATTACGGGAAAGACACAGTTTTTCAATCGGTTCCATTGATTTATTTAATTTATGGATACGGAAAACACGTTTGAAAGGAACAAAAATTTATCCAAATGTATGCTCGTCTTTCAATTTTTCCAGCAGCATTTATATAATATTTCTACTTTCGTTTCCGCAAATTATTTGCATGTTACGAATCCGTTTCAACACTCAGCACGGTACTAATTTAAAAATTCGCCTGCGTGCAAACGGTACATCGAATAAATCACCGGATACGCGATGTATTTCGTATTGTTTATTCGCTTTATACAGCGGAACTTGGTAAATAAATTTTTCAGTTAATAAATAATGTGACGTTATCAACGCAGAAATGTAAAATAAAAAAAGAAGTAAAACCGTCCTTAACTGCTGACAGGTTTTAAAAAATTATATTCTACGGCATATTCTTAATCCCTTAAGTAGGGTCACAGTTTTCGTAAAAAATATGGATGGTTCACAGTTTTTTAATAACGTGATTTACATTTATTGTTGCGTTGCTTGTATTGCATATAATGTTCCAAAATCATATACGATATTTGATTATTAAATGAAACAATACTACGTGAAAGCTTTCAATTTTTTAATTCTAAATACAGGTTGTGTTAATTCTTGTTTATTTTTGTATCGTATTTTATGAAGCTTTCTGCTAAAATATGGTTTAAACACTGTATTGTGATAGGTTGACCCGAATACTACGGCTCCATTAGGACCGCCAGCTCTCTATCTCGTGGATTTATGATACGTCAGTCCCCATTAAATCCAAAGGAGCAAGATGCTTCACGCTATCGGCATAAATATGAAAGCTTCTCAATAATAAATACGGCTTCGAACTTCTGAACCTATACTGAGCTATTATTCAAACATTTTACTCAAATAATTGATCTCCAAACTACTTCTTAAAAAATAGACGTGTGTCTACACAAGGTGGAAAATATTTTATAGAATATTCAAGTATTATATCAGTGAAATTTTCATTTAAACGGAAATTGTATCAATTCTAATTAATTCTGTCATCTGATCGATAATGCTTTAACAATTATTGAAATATCGTTTAATTATTATCGGAGGAATTAAGTGACCTCTGATAAAAATATATAATGACCTAGCAGCTTCTTGCACGTCACGTGAATCGTTGTGTACGGTGTTAATGGTTGGATTTTCCTGTTTGCATTGGATAACTTGGTCGTCGGTTAATTTATATACGCCGCTCACAGAGAATTAATTAGTCACACGAATAGTGTCGTCTTTTAACGTAATATGTTACGTCTAGTGTGCCTTGGCTGGGAATCGATGTCAGCATTACGTTGTTATACGGTACTTGACGACACTCGATCATGCTAACAACCTATGCTTCCTCTGTTTCAGGTAAGGATCAAAATTTCGCCAGTAATAACGCCGGTGAGTGTTCATCTAACAATATAACATTACTATAGCATGTGTTTCTGTCTTTCTGTTGCGCCTTTTTCTGTGTGTGTTTCAAGCGTTAATAGTCATCATATTTCACGTAACTTACAACCTCGACATGTGTATTATCGTTAACACTGATGAATTAATTAATTGTCAGTTTTACGTGGTATTACTCGATATTAGTAGATAACATGAACCTAACACGAGTAATCCTTTGTTACGTTGAGGTAGATCAGCTACCATTGTAATTTGATAAATCTGTGGTGTGAACTAGATTCCAAAAAATAATCGATTTATCGAAGACTATCGTTGAATCAATTCGATTCGCGATGTAAATGAATCATTGCTATTAAACATAGTGATTGATTCTTTTATTTATTGCAATCGTAATTCTGACTTAATCCGCGAGGGACGTGAATTTCCTTTCTCACGAGATGGGAACAGGTTCGAGAACGATAAGACGAATCTATTCAGATCTGCTCCTCCTTTTTTCCGTATCTCGCGACTGCAATTTCACCTCGAAGATTTCCCGTGCACCCGGGGACAAAAGGGACACGGAGCCAACGGAAGATTTACGTACATTGTGGGGGCCAAAGAAACGGATCGGGTAGGTGTGGGTGGTAAGGGAAACGAGCGAGGTATTCTTTCGAAAAACCCATTTTCCGTAATGCGTGAAGCCCGGATCCCGGTGGCACCGACACGATGGGAATTGATCGAGATTGCGAAATGTGGCGAGATAAGGACGACGAATTGTAGAAACAGTCCGGATGATTAGCCTCTGAGTGTCGAATAATGAGACGGAGACAAATGTTACACGTGTTTTGTACCATTCCTACTCAATTTCCACTATCGTGATTCCTCCAGAGTTTTTTGTATAAAGCCGTGGGAATTTCAAACCTTAGTTATTCATTCAGACGATTTGCGAGTTAATAGACATGAATATTTGTAAGATTTTCAATTTTACAAAAGATATATTATTGCTTTATTCAGACGTCGTGCAAGGCTCCGTAATTCTGAATTTGGTCGAACGATCAGTTTCGCTTCACGGTGAAAAGAATCGGGTGTAGGGGGAACAGGGGGAAGGCGCGTAAGTTCGTTCGCGAATGTCGTTCGTGAAACTCGAAGAATGGAGGAGAGCCGCGGGACGTAGCGAGATAAGGTCGGCAAATTGCAGGCAATCTGGCTGATTAGGCTGCACGCTGGTAATTCTAGGGATTCCACGGGGGAGCCGGGCCACGACCTATAACAACCTTCAACGCCGTTCGACGTGTATTAGCCGAAGGAACAGGAAGGGATGAGACGCGAAAGAAACGACCGCTAACGTAGCTAGATGACGGTACAGCCGCGCGATTCTACGAGATTAGGTTGTTCTTTGATGGTAGATTGGCAAGCAGAATCAAATTTAACTTTCGAATTTTCTAAACCCCGAACGTCTCGCAACGGATAAATATTCGGGTTATTAATTTATCATACATTACGAGTTTAGTAAGTTTTATAACTCGGTGATTTTAATAGATTCGGTTACAATGAATCCAATTCCCTTTAATTTCCTAAAAAATTACTGCGCTGCGGCGGAGCATTGTTCTTTGGAATTGGCGACAGGAAACGTTCGCACAGAATTTCATTTAGCAGATCATCATTTATTCTTTGAATACTTGCTTCCAACCACTCGTTAATGCCAGCTGAATTTAATTAAATTCATCTCAATAGAACCATTATGCTGACCAACTTTTTCATAAGCCAATCGTTCGTATACATTCATTCGCGAATAAAGTTGCATTTAACTTCACGATTATTCGACGTTTCAATTACTTAGAATTCTATGGTGTTCATCGAGTTTATCTAAAATAAATTTTATGACAGATGGAATAGAAGGACTAGAATCAGATTTTTTTCTCTCCATGATTTCTTCAAAATCCGGACGAGGTTTCACCGAGATTGGAGTATACTTAAAATCCTCTCTCAAAACTAACCTCTTCGGGAGACTCTCTTCGGAATCCTCCCCGGCCTTCATTTACATGTAACGCTTGCATGGGACGTAACTTATCTGGAGCCTCGTTTTCGTTTCGCCTTCATCAGCCTTATCTTTTAGCTTCACTGAACTGGCTCACGCCTCTGTAGTTTACAATATCAGCACCAAGATCGACTTCCATAGTTGGTTAGATTATAAACTCCTGGTTCGTTTTTTTCTGAACCTGTTTTTCAACTTTCACCTCTATTCTCCTGAGCTTGTTTAATTTGCTTTGTGCGTGTCAAAGCTAATTGTAAACCTAACATTTTATACCCGCTGGGAGCAAGTCGAGGAGTGCAAGTGGCCTTTGATTAGGAAAAAATAATGAGGCAAAGAAATAATGTTTATGTGCAAAAATATACGTGCAATTCTTGGGAATATTATTTATAGAGAATTTAAATCCGTTTCTTTGATGTCTTGCCGGATCCGACGTCAAAAATTCAAACACAAAACGTTGTATAATTTCCCGCACTGTCAGAGTACCTTCCAAGCGAATGCAGAAAATAAAAGTTTCCATTAAATGTTTCTACTCGTCATCCTACTAAAAATGGAACAGGTTTTTAATCGCGACGAGTAATTATATAAAACATACACGCAGACTGTATTTATCATTTTAAAAGCAGAAACGTTGCAACATGAAAAATAACAAATTCATCGGACGGATTCTGCGTGTACGCGTGACACAAGAAAGCACATTATAATAGTACAGGCAGGAATGATATCACGTAGTTGGATAATATTGTCCATAATTCTATCGTTTATAGAACGCAGTTATTCGAGATACTCTGCTTTTTTCACGGTTGTTTCAATCCGTTGAATCGTTCGCCAATATTTGATGTGAAGCCGTCCTTAGGACAGAGCTGAAAAGCCTGGCAAATACATTGGAAGGAAAAATCGTCGCTCCGGGTCTATTTATATCCCTGGGGATATAATTGGAATTAAAGTTGCCTATAATCTTCCATTAACTCGACCACATTTCTCTCGCTTTCTCCACCGTGAAAAGAAAGGAACGAGTATGGGCTCCATAAGCGGAAGTGGTAATAGAATTTGGAACGAGTAGAACCGGAAGTGGAGGAGACTGGGAGGAAAACAGAGGACTACGGATAACAGTGAGAGTGAAAGGGAAGGAAAGAAAGAGAGAGAGAGAGAAGGAGAGCCGAGTGGCGGAGAGGGTTGAGGGGGAGAAACATCGTCAACTCGACCACGTCTACCGAGGGATTATCGTGGGTGACAAAGGGATTTGAAAGAGGCGGCACGGAATTGGATTCTGGGAGAAACTCGAGAGGCACTCGAAAGCCGCTTTGTGTCTCTCGTACAATAATTATTTGCGAAATTGTCGTGAAGCTGCGAGATATCGAGTGGCTTTTGATGACGGATATTCCTTCGAGGGCCCTGATAGAAATCGTTCACCGTGCCGGATGTCACGTGTCCCGTAATTATTCCGAATCGGCCGAAAATTAGTGAACCTCTTTCTCTCACTCGGCCGGGAATTTTATTCTTTTTTAGTTCCTCCCTTTTCTACGGTCCTTCGTCGTCGGCCTTCCGTCTCCCTCGCCAATGGTCCACCTTTCTCGTTTCTGTCGCCGTTTGTAGCACGCGGAGCGTATGGAAAAATGCCTGCGTGTAGCTCAACCCTCTCCCACCCTCTCGTTTTTTCCTATTTCCCTTCGTTTTTTGTTTTTGGTGGTTGTGGTTTAATTAGAAGCCGAGAAATTAAAACAAACGAACGCACCGTAGCTGTACACGCCATCCTCGGCCGTAGCCATTGTTGTACCTCCTTTCGGGTCGGCGTGCAGCAACCATCGTCCTGGGAACCCGGCAATTTACGAAGAATTTACCCGCGAGCACGCGGTTTTTGAAACACGCGTTTCATCCTTTTGCCGTTTTTAAATATTAATATATTTGCTGGCTTCCAGCGGACTTTATGCGCTTTCCTACTTTGAACTTTTCTCCCATCACCCGCATGAAGAATTCAAGCGTATTAAATTTTAAATAATATAAATATAATATAAAGAATATGACTCATTTAGTTTAGCGACTGAGAATTACTCGTACATTATTTGTTTCACAAATTTTTGACGGTTTCACTATACTACGGAAAATCACTGCTTAATCAATGGAGGTATTCTGAAATTCAATCTTCTCCTCCATCCGAAGATATTTTGAAATTTCCCGTTCCCTTTTCATAGCCGTCATCAGCGTGCCACTGTTGCTGCGTCACAGCCGGCAACGAGCGACGACCCCCTTCTATCTCCCCTCCCGCCAATTCCGTGCCGTACAAAGTCGGCCTCGGCAGAGACACGCCGAAAATGCATGCGTGTCTGAGAATAAAAGGCGAAAAAAAGCGCGGAATGTACGAGGGATGTGGTAACAACGCGCAAACGGGTCCGGAACAAATGTGACTTTCAATAAGCGGACCCGCGTGCGTCGCTTGAAACGGACGACACCGCCACCGTTCCGGCTACCAAAACTATCTCTTTCCTCTTCCCCATTTTACATTCGGTTGCCGCATGATCGTTACTCGAAGCGCGTAGCGGTAGCAAAAAGTCGTTGAAATAAAAGAACGCTTCGCTCTTGACGGACAGAGGGTTGGAGATAGGAGGACAACGGCGGACGGTGGAGCGAGGGGGCTGAAGGCTGGCCGTGCCGTATCGGTCGAATTATCGAATGGTACGTTACGGTTTTATGCAGATTCGCTGGTGGAACGACCGGCAGTTTTGGAATTAATGTCGGTCAGACAAATGTTTCGCGGTTTTTCTGCTGAATTATCGTACCCCCGGGCGCAACGAAACGTTCCGTCCCGTCGCGACCGATGTGTGCGCACGGTCCAGTTAACGGGCTCGATGTTTTCGGGATAGCAGCATACATAAATAGGTGTTTGTCAGTGAGCTAATGCGAGCTGAATGCGCTTCGACCGGCGCGAGTATAAAAGATATTTCATGCCACTGCTGGCATATGCAATTATCAGTCAAAAAATTGA